ACAGGCTTACGCTTAACTGCATCTGACTTTTTCACAGGTTAGTGGAGTTCTCTTTCATAAGCTTAGTAGTTTTAGGACTTAGATAGCACTTAGGTTATAGTTATTTGAAAACAGATAGTAGGCATTCTTTTTATGTTTTCTGACGCAATATCCGTTTTTTGACTGAGCAGAAAAAATGTATTTTTGCAAAGAAAAAACAAGAAAAAAAAATATATAAACCATCTATTATTACATCGATAATAATACATCCAATCGATACAGCGAGGAAACTATAGAAATTGAATTAATTTTCGTTCTAAAAATAATACCGGAATTACTCGTGTCCGATAGCGTTGGTGGTGCATCTGCGGACTGCAACTCCGTAACAGAAAATCGAAAGGGCCAATCTGAGACCAAATTGATTTGGGCCCGACGAATCCTACCTTTTATTTAGCTAATTCCGGATATTTACGAAGTTTCCTTCAAAATCGGAGTTGTTTTTCGAAATTGTAACTCACTTTTTTCGAAAGTTTTTAAGTTATAGAGTCTGTTCATTTTATCAATAGTCTATTATATAGGGTCCGGTAATAGTACGTCGGGCATCTGTAACTACTAGAATAAAAAACTTAATAATTTTGTTTAAAACAAATCTAAAGTATGTACGAGGATGTTTTTTTTTCAGGAAAATATTATAACTTCTACAGGGTGACTCAAAAAAGTATCAGTGAATCGGGCTAATTTTTTTTTTAAATGGAACACCCCGTATTTTACTGCATTTTTGGCTTCCTTTCAGATCACTTTACACAGTCCTAAGATACAAGTAAATATATTTCGATAGTTTCAGAGATATTAATAAATAAATAAAAAAATACATATTTTTCAGCCTTTCTTAAAAACAAATTAAAAATGCAAGAACTATCCTGATACCAAAACTATATTAGGTACTTAGGTACTTTAGATGGTCTGTATTTACTTTTTTATAAATATGGTAATCCTAAATAAATCATACAGGATGTTCAAAATTTTACGCCAAACTTTTGAAAATTTAAAATAATTTTTCTTCGTTTTTTTTTAAACGGATTAAACGGAACACCCTAAATATTATTCTTTCAATAGATTCGCGGTTATATATTTTATATGGCATTTTTCATAGTAATTTTTTATGAAAGCCACCCAATTATTTTTCTCTCGATTTTACCGTTGAGACCCTATAAAATAATACTGCGTGTATCTGCGAAACCATTAAAGATTTTGAAATACTTTAAATACAATAAATGTCATTTTTTTAATTCTCCATCTAATAAAAAATAATATAGAGGGTGTTCCATTTAGAAAAAAAAACACAAAAAAAATATATTTTAGAAAGTTTGGCGTAGATATTTGAATATCCTGTATGGTTTAAAATTACGATATTTATAGCAAAGTAAGTATAGACCATCTAAATTAAATACCTAATAAACAAATTTATTCATATCTTAGGATTATGTAAAGTGATCTGTAAGGAAGCCAAAAATGCAATAATATACAGGGTGTTCCATTAAAAAAAATCTTTTCAAACTACTCGGTCGAAGAGTCGAATAAACAATGGAATAATTTTCACTTGTAAGTAACTATACCATACGACCGGAAAAAAATGGTGTCAAAGACGGCTAAGGAATGACAATCGATGATAGTTTTTCTTAGCCCGTACTCTTCTTTATTTTTTAATGGCCTTTACTGCCAGTTGGTCTCAAGAAGATTGTAACTTATCTTTATACAGGGTCCGGCAATAGTGCGTCGGGCATCTGTAGCTCCTAGAATAAAAAATTTGGGAATTTTGTTTAAATGCAAACCTAAATTATGTACTAGGATGTATTTCAGGAAAATATTTTAACTTCTATAGGGTGGCCCAAAAAAGTATGAATGGATCGGGATGATTTTTTTTCAATGGAACATCCTGTATATTATTGCATTTTTGGCTTCCTTTCAGATCACTTTACATAATCCTAAGACATGAGTAAATATATTTCGTTAATTTCAGAGATATTAATAAATAAATAAAAATTATGTATTTTCAGCCTTTCTTAAAAAAATTATTAATAATACAAGAACTGTCCCTGAAATCAAAACTATATTAGATATTTACTTTAGATGGTCTGTACTTACTTTGCTATAAATATGAAAATCGTAAATCATACAGGATGTTCAAAATTCTATGCCAAACTTTCTAAAATATGAAATAATTTTTTTTCGTTTTTTTAAATGCAACACCCTGTATATTATTTTTTCAATAGATGGAGAATTAAAAAATGAACATTTTTTGTATATAGAGTATTTCAAAATTTTTAACGGTTTTGCAGATTTTCCCAGTTTTGTATTTCATATGGCATTTTCCACAGTAAATTTTCATCAAAGCCACCCAATGATTTTTCTCTCATATTTTACCATTGAAAGCGCCATATGAAATAAGACTGCGTGTATCCGGAAAACTATCAAACATTCTGAAATATTTTAAATACAAAAAATGTTAATTTTTTAATTCTCCATCTAATAAAAAAATAATATACAGGGTGTTCCATTTAAAAAAACGAAGAAAAAATATTTTATATTTTTGAAAGTTTGGCCTAAAATATTGAATATCCTGTATGATTTACGCTTACCATATTTATAGCAAAGTAAGAATAGACCATCTAATGTAAATATCTAATATCGTTTTGATTTCAGAACAGTTTTTGTATTTTTAATATATTTTTTTAATAAGGGTTGAAAAATATGTGTTTCTGATTCATTTTTTAATATCTCTGAAACTACCGAAATAGATGAATCATTGATCACACACATGATCATATCTTAGGATTATGTAAAGAGATCTGAAAGGAAGCCAAAAATGCAATAATATACAGGGTGTTCCATTTAAAAAAAATAATCCAGATCCACTCACACTTTTTTGGGCCACTCTATACAAGTTAAAATATTTTCCTGAAATACATCCTAGTACATTCTTTAGGTTTGCACTTAAACAAAATTCTCAAGTTTTTTATTCTAGTAGCTACAGATGCCCGACGCACTATTGCCGGACCCTGTATAGAGTAAATATTATTTTTAAATAATGTTGCTTCAAATTCAAGAATAAATATTTTTTTTGTAAATAGATTTGTGTCGTTCGATCCTTTTTTAACCTCTCTATAATTATTGTTAATTTTTGACATTTTTCATATCAAATATTATATATTTTTCTTGTCTTTTCGCAGTTTGATTCACGTGTTTCAGTAGCGTATCTGGTAAGTTCGTTGATATGCTCATTCGTTAATCTTTTTATTAAACATGTTACTAAACATGAAGCCAACATGGGTCCGGTGAACTATCCTGACACACGATTTTTGCATTTTTCTTTTTTTTATCAAAAAGTAGCCATTTTTAGTAGTAGTTTTAAATAAAAATAAATGGGGATTATGCACAGAATTTTAAAATATTTTAATTTAATTTTAGTAGTTTTATCTTTTGCCAACATTTTAAAATAAAAACCAGAAATAATTTGTATATTCTCCTTTTATATATTATTAATTATTATTATATTATATTCACTTTTGAACAACAAACTAGAACTAGAACAACTACTATTTCAATTTGGAAGTAACTTTCCATATAAATGAGGATTACGCCTCTTATATTCGACCTCCAATTCATTCAGTAATTTTTTAATAAAAATATAAGTTTTGGCAAACTATATTATGAATCCAAGATTCTAATTTATTCCAAAATTGGCGATCGAATGGTGATTTCTATACAGTTCGTACCAATTGAATTTTTACTCACGTGATTAATCTTGACCGGCACAGAGTTTATTTATATATTTTATTTTAACCAAAATAATTTAGGAAACAAAAATAAATTAATTATAAATATATACAAATATAAACAGTTATTATCTACATCAACAAAACTCACCTCCTTAACAGCACTTAAAGGACATAAATGGCCATTACTACCGCATTCCCGTTCAAAATACTCTAATAAGTGTTTTTGCATTAGCTGTTAAGCTATCTTCTACACTTCGCACCAAAAGAGGTTCTAAAAAGAACAATGTTCGACTCCAAGATCTGCTAGAACAATTTTTTAAGCTTAAAATATCACAACACAATAATTCATTTAAATCAAAAACTCGTAATGCAAAACTAAAGTGTCAAAACGAATGACACTCTCAGGAAATAAATAAATAAATAAATGAAAACTTGACATTTTTAACAATAGAGCTATCACCTGAATCCCCAGCTGAAAATTTAAATTCCAAGGGAATCTTCATAAGGGTCAACGGAGTGAATCTATCAACATTCGGAAGGGGGTGAGGCGGGGTTGCATCCTGTCGCCGTTTTTTTTTTAATATCCTCTTAGATGATATTCTAAAGAAAAAAATTTCTAGGAATCATCAAGAAATATGGTGGACTCCCTTTAGCTTGTTATAAGATCTCAGTCAAAGAATATACCTAGCTAGAAAAAGAATGGTCTCTGCCATACTGAAAAATGGTCTTACAGAAGTGACGCCATCTATTGAGTAGGGCTTGTTTTAAATGGATCGAAGCGCGGGCTTTTTAAATGAGCGTATTTATTGAATTTTACTCTAAAATAATTAAATTTGATTATTAAATCTTATTTTTTACTCAAATTCAACAATACTAATAAAAAGAATCGTTGTGATGTGTAAAAAATAAGATTTAACAGTATAATTTATACAATTAATAAATAAAATTAAAGCCAAACATGTGTAAATATTATTTATTATTTTAAAGTTTTTATTTATAAATCAAATATTTAAACATCGTTTATTATAATAAAACAAGACCAACGTAATACGCCCAAAGTTTTGTAAATGGAGTAAATATAAATAGGAACTTAAATGATGGTAGAAAAAAAAGACTTACATTATATTTTTAGGGCCACAACCAAAAGGAATTGTCTAATTAAAACACATATAACAAACATATACAAACTAAAATATATGGGAAACTGAAATTGAGATCTTTGAAAGGACGTTTTTACCGCAACCAGTTATACACAAATTTATTAGTTCTGTGACGAACCACCGGTCGCGCTTAAGGCGAAAATATTTAGGCAGTTCAAATCAAATCAAGTCAGTTCTAATCAAATAATATGGTACCGTCAAAAATAGAAAAAAGTTTTACTGGAATTTTAGTGATTATTTAAACTTTTTATTAAAAACAATGATGGAATCAGACCGTAAACCCTTTCATAAGTATGTTGTTCCGATGCCGGATTTGTTTTCCAAAAGACATACATTCTCGAAGAACGATCCTACATTATTTCAAAAGTGATATCAAGTGCGAAACCTTAAAATGGAAAATACAACACAGTAAGATATTTATAAGATTTATAGAGTTTGTGATTTACATTTTTGGAATCAAGATCGTACCTGGAATAAAAAGAGGTTTAGAAGTTAATTCTAAAGTTTTTATATACACCAGTTCATATGGGTAAGTATATGCATTTAGTTAAATAAAGAACGTATTCAGATATTTTGATCTAATAACATTAAAATAATCTTTTAGATGATCAACCTACTGGTAATTTGGTGTCCAGTGATGTCGATCCAGGTACAAACCCTGTATTTAAAGACAAAAATTTGTTGTAGAACTTGTTGGTGGACCAGTCTGTTGTTTGTATTAGACATGTACTGTTACCTGAGATAAAAGCAGTAACTGAAAAGGGTAGGTACCTACACCGTAGGCCAAATTAATGTCTCAAAATATTCAGTAATGAAGATGAACATTATTTTAAAAAAAAATATCATATCAACTTTATAACATGAGCTTAATTGAGCTGTAAATAAACAAGTTATGGCACTGGCTACTTTAATTTGGCAGAGAGTGATTCAATTATTAGATATTCCAAAGTTTATTAAAAATGTTAATATGTATTACGAATCCAAACTGAATTTGGTTTATTAAAATTATCGTTTTAGATTTTTTAAATTGTATCTATCATTTTAGAGAAAGGATCAGATAACCCAAATGAGGAATCTTCCAGAGTGCAGATGATGAAGTTTTTGTGAGTGAGGTATAAGATCTGTCTCTTGTAAGACCTCTTTTAAGAATTTAACCCAGGCAGTTGTTTACAACCAAGTTAGGTAAGAATTAAAAAATATAATAAGTGGAGCATAATACTCAAAAATGTAAATTTGCTTTATTAGCAATTGTTTTTGAATCCTGCTTATTAAAAGGCATATAAACTCCATAATTATTTCTTATGAAAAATAATGCTTGTGTTAACTTAAAGACTAAGATAAAAAGTTCATAGCCAATTTCTGTTGAGATTTTAGAGCCCTTCGCAACGGCATCAACTTTTAATTTTTTCCTCCTACTCCTATAAACCATACTCGAGGTTTTTTTGATGTGTCACATAATTATACATATTTATTTGTTTGAGATCTCAAGCATAGCAAAGGAATCGTACAATCTGTGAATTCAGTTTAATTACTAAGATCAAGAATGATGAAACATTCATTATGATTATACAGAGCTACAAAGAGTTATGTTGAGAATCCAAATTATCATAATGAATTGAGACGAGACAACACCTGGGTGGAAATTGAGGAAAAATGCAGATAAAACGCATTTTTATATTAACGTTATCCAATGTGTTTATCAAATCGTCACATAGATAATATTTCTCTACGCATAATACTAAAATTAAAAAGGTCAGGTTAAAACAATTTTAATTATCCATCGCGTGCGAAAAACAGTGCTTCGCATGGCTTCGGCTTCGGCGCGCTTCGCTCAAGTGCTCAACATGCTTTAAACTTTTGCGAAGCGCCAAAATGTCATTGGATTAATTGCATGTATTTTGATTCTTCGCGTTACTTCGCTTTAATCCATGGGTCTATGTATAAAAATGGGTCTGCATTTTTATACATAGATACCATTGATCCAATTCACATTTTTTCGCCGCGCTTCGAATAAGTTCGCGACAAAACTTTGTCAGTTGTATTTTATATTATTTAATGCTATTGTATTGATTTATAATTATTATTATATTTATATGAACAAGTTAAGTATAGCAGTGCCGTGCGAGCCTTCGTCTGAAGAAGAAATTTTATTTATTGTATAATTTGTATTATTTACTTTTTTAATAAAGTTATTACTAATAATAATTATTCAACATATCCAGTTAATTATTTTTATTTTATTAACTATAGCTGTTTTTTCAATCTATTTCATATTTTTTGATGAGGATAAGTTAATTCTAAATGAAACGTCACCTGTTTGAGAACAATACGATATAATGGAGCGATGTCGCATTTAGATTAACTTATTCTTATTAAAAAATAGGAAATAGAAGAAAAATCATTATTTTCTGTACAAAAAAAATAAATTACGTTCCAAAAATTGATAATAGATGGCGCTAGAGTATGACGCAACAATATAGTTACCTGTAGTTAAAATGTAAAAGTTTCCTGTAAAATAAAATAAAACTGTATCATAAGTTGTGTAACGACCCGATGCATGGCGCCACTGAATTCTCCAACAGACGGTATCATTTCAGTTTCCTATATATTTTAGTTTGTATATGATAACAAATTATAGTTTGAAAAACGTTTTCATAATCATTTGATAATATTATGATGCTATGACAACGAGAATATTTTTAGAGAATTTGACAATAGTATGACAATGGCCGTTGGAAACTATGGAAACTACAAAAAAGTTCTGATTTAACGCCATCTGGCAATAACTAGTAGCAACTTCTTAACATAAAAATTAATTGTAGTACCACCTAGAGCCTGAGGCTCGAACTATTTTATTTGAAATTTCCGTGAAAACGGTGGTACCGCTTTTGCTATTTCACTTTCCTGCTTCTGATCTCAGTTATGCAGATGACATCTGTCTCCTTTCTCATAGTCATGCGGATATGGCATCAAAAATACCTGACTTGACAAAGGAAACTCAAATTGCAAGTTTTAAAATCAATATTAAAAGAACTAAATTGATGAGAGGTTGTACCAACAACGTCGCTCTCTTTATCATTGGAATAACACCTATAGAGGAGGTAAATAATTTTACTTACTTAGGTAGTATAATCTCAACCAACGGAGACACAGAGCAAGATATCATAAATAGAATAAACACGGCGAGAATAACATTTGGAATGCTCAACAATATTTGGAGATCTAGACAGTTCTCTCAACTTACTAAACTTAAGATTTTCAATTCAAATGTCAAGCCAGTATTGCTGTATGGTGCAGAGACCTGGAAAGTTATATCACCACTAATTAACAAACTCGAAGTTTTCATAAACCTCTGTCTGCGAAAAATTGTAGGAATATTCTGGCCAAATTAGTATTGCGAATTTATGGAGCTTGACCAACCAGAGACAGGTGTACAACGAGAACAAACGTAGGAAATGGAGGTGGATTGGTCACACTTTAAGGCGAAGCGGCAACGACATCAATGACAGAGCTATTGATCCACAAGACAATGAATCCACAAGACAGTAGAAGAACCGTTCGTCCAAGGTCCAAGACATACATCGCGAAGGACAATTAAAAAGGAGATCGAAGCAGTAAACCGATTATGGCGAGATGTTAAATCAATTGCCAACAACCGAACCCGCTGGAGAGCGTTTATTGAAGCCCTATGCTCTACGTAGGAATAAAGTACAAAATAAACGAAAATAAGTCAGCCCGGCGCCGAAAATTTTTATAGTTAACAACAATGAATTTAAAAGTCGCGCCCTCGATTACTTAACTAAAAGTTTAATTGGTATCGCTTATATTGATTTCATTTTTACTTAGTATATTTCTGTTTTATACTCGCAGATCCAAAGCTATAATTTTACCGGACTTATCGAATATCATACATTTATTATCGACGTCGTCCATAAAACCACATTGCCGCTCGATCGCTCTACATCATCGGCGAATCCTTGAAATTGACATTCGAGGCCGGCTAAACTGCCTGATCGAGGAAGGGTCAGGTTTTTTCCCGCGGTTCCAAGGGATCTAATTAATTTTCTGTTGACAGCATGGAAAAAAACGGCGCCGATATTTTTACGAAGCGGTAGAGTCTCCGATTCTCAATAATTTTCCTCCTTTGAACTGCTAAACCCCCTTCTACATGTGTAGAGTATATTAAGATATTTAAAGATACCATGTAGCACCGATATCCTCTTCTTCTTCTTCTTCTTCCGGTCCCATATGCAAAATTGCACGTTGGGGATCATTTGTACACTCTCCTCAATTGATTGTAAGGGTATTGTCTACTGCCGGACGGAATATGGTTATCGCGTCCGGTATCCCGCTCCAATCCATGATGTTCCGGAGCCATGAGTGTTTGTTCCTGGCACTCTTCGACCCTCGATTTTGTCTTGCAGGACTAGTTTCGGAATAGACATTTTCAAATATTGTCTGTGAAATGTGATAAACTGCTAATTCCATTATTCCTAATTTTACAGGAGAGCAAAAAAACGGTATAAAAAAAAATATGTAGTATGTATTTCCTACACATGTAGGAAGTATTTTCATGCGTTAATATTATAAAGAGATAAGATTTTTATTTGCTGGGGAACCATAAAACTCAATATTTCGTGTTGCATAATTTTTTTCAGACACAATAGGAAAATAGCAGATATTCGTCTTGCAGAAATAAGAAATAAAAATATACTTCTGGAGATAGCAACCTTTATTGTTTGAAATTTTGAAAATGGAATTGAATATTACCCAAACAGATTTAGAAATAATCAATTAAATTTAAAATATATGATATTCATAACCATATATTTTTTTATAATATCGTCGGTCTAGAAGCAAAACATAGAAGTCCAAATTTTTAATGCATTTTTAGATAACTGGAGTAGCAGCATTTTGGACTTAATGAATATGAAAATAATTTAAAAATTAAACTTATAATTCTAAGAAGATATGGTAGAATCCTTCCATGCTTATCCTATTTTTTATACAACGGTAGTAGACCGAGCTTGGAAAACCAGTGCGTGATTTTATTAAATTTTTATTACTTTTCTCCTTATTTTTTTAATTTTTATAAAAATTATGTATCATTTACGTGGAAAAACGTTGAAAAAAATAAAACTGATTAAGTATTATGGAACTTCTTGTACAAGTAAGTAATGGTTATTTAAACTATTTATAGCACGCCGATGCGTATACAGAGATAACGTATACAGAGAATTTCGTTTTTCCCCTTACCCTTTACGGATACCCCGTATTTACAGAACGGATCGACGCAGGGTGGGACTGACCATATTATAGAATATAACTATTGGGGGGGCCCCAGCCTTCACGGGCCTCCTTTATGGTTCATTATTTATTCTTAACAATATTTGCTTTTGCATTGCATTATGGCATTTGCATTGGATTGGTTTACCTTGCATTAGGATAGGTCCCTGATTTCTATACAGGGTGAGTCCTAAATAAGTGCAAATATCTTCAGGGCTGGTAAATCTTGATAAAAGAAACATAATATTTTCTCTTTACCGTTTTTTCAAATAAATCCAAAACAACCGAGTTATTTTACTTTTAAATTTTCCAATTTTTTGCTATAATTTTGAGAAACATTGGATTTTCTTTCTTGTAAATTTAATCTACTACCTATGTTACCATATTACAAACAAAGTATGTTTTTAAACTAAAAATTAAAAAAATTTCCATTTTTTTTTAAATTTCAAATTTTCAAAAAAAAAACAATTCGCGCAAAAAACCTCATAATCGTGTTTCTTGGGTTGAAATATACTACCCCTAAAAATATTTGCAATTATTTAAGACTCATCCTGTATATAATAGGGAAAAATTGACCAAAACGTAAGGCGAAAAAATACGCAAAAAAATCCACACGGGCCCCTTCTTACACTGCCACCCGGGCCCCTTTGGCCTACTACTTACTGTACTAACGAAACATACCAATAAGAATCCATATGTTTGCTTTAGCGTGATCGTAACGGAAATTATGGAGATAGCAGCATTTCGGTGGCTATTTCAGATCACTTGGAGTTAGCAGATATTATTGAGTTAAAATGGCAAATTTTCTTTAATGGGAAAAAATATATATTTGCCGAGATATTTGCTTTCCCTACTTATGGAGTATTTTTTTCTCTTTCTAATGGTATAAAAAAACTTGTTAACGTAAAAAATGGAGTTAGCAGGTTATCACGTTTCACTGACGATATGACATTTTCCGGGTCTTTACTACACTCAAATGCAAAAAAACGCAACGGAGAAATTTTTAGTCAAATTTAAAGTGTTATATTTTTGTTTCTTCTAGCCCTATTTTCATGAATTTTTTAGCAAGCTGTATACAATTATGTTAACTTTAATTCGTAAACTAAGTTTTAATAAACTTTAGTATTTGGCATATTATACAGGGTTAATCGAGGGGTTGTTTTTTTGCCTTAACTTTAAAACACCCTGTGTAATAATTTCATGTATAAAATTTCCTAAAATATAATTTTACAGTCAGAAC